ACCCACTTCTTCGGATGCATGTTCCATTCTATATGCATCCGAAGAAGTGGGTTGTAGTGCCACAAGTACTCCTGTTCTTTTCTCATATTTAGGTGTCTCATTATAAGAATTTCTTACCTTTTGTAGTTAAAAACTTCCAAGTGAAAAGGGACCCTCTTAGCTAGTGTTAGTAACTCTGATGTGCTTTGTATGGTCAGTGTCAGCAGCCATCTGCACATGCTTTAATCTAACTTGAAGAAACACTTTCAATTTAATATACTGCACATGGATCTTCCTCATACCTATGTACAATACACATTAATTTAAAAAGAGATGTATTTTGATCTGTGAAAATACAACTAATTTTATCCAACAGAATAGGGATGCTCTGTGTGTTCTCCTAGTCCTGTTCTTGTTGACTGTATAGACAATATTGTTTAAGTCAAATGGTAAACCATGGTTTGAAAACACAAATATATTCATATCTGACACAGCACCTTGAATGGTTTAAGATCTGACAGCCAATTAACAATAACAGAATATTCAATTACAAAGGATTATTTATAAGGTCTTCTGCAAAAGTTGTGAGAAACATGTCAGTGGTTAGCGGCAATGTTTGCACTTGTTTGGAAGGTGACCAAATATAACATTTAAAAAATAGTAACTAAAACCTAATATTTTTGAACTATAACAAAGACTATCCAGCCAAAGGATCAGCTCAAATCAGTTGCAGGTGACTTTTAGGATAAATAAAATTGTACTGGAAAACCTGAGGCTACTGTGGCTGTTGCTAGAGGCTGCTCTTAATGGAGGTTTCACTGTGTGCCGTTTCTAAAGAAAATGTTAGCAAATTGGGCAGCATAATACTCGGATCACATTTCTTGTGCAGATCTTACAGGCTTTACATAAACTATACTCTTGTATAGTTTAGAACACATGTCAATTTGAGGGACTTCCAGATATTGTAGGCTGTTTAATAAGCTTCACAGTTAAGGTGTGTTCGTGTGTAAAAGGCATGCATTAAAAAGTTGAGTATCTACCCCATTAATCAATCCTTAAAGCCTAGGGATCTGAAGAAATAATTTAAGACCTTTGAAGCAGTCTGATTCCTGATTTATGCCACCTCTTATTTGGAAAACCAAAGCCAACAAATATTTTTTACTAATATTCTCAGTGTCAGAAGTATACACATTGTGGGGACTGGCAGTAGGGAGAGGTTTTCTCCTCTAGGTTACCAGTTTGAATCAGTACAGCTCAGCTGAGACCTCGCAGATTAATGGGTTGGTGGTCTTTGGACAGGTGTCCATATCACAAGGCCAGATTCTGACTCCCTTCCTCACGATGAGAAGTACCTTACTCCACATGCAATCCCATTAACTTCAGTGTCAGAATCTGGCAACAATTGCTGGGTCTGTGTGGCCAGTCCCATCATAGGGGCTAATGACTGTACTCAGCAAATGAATACGACTAAATCACTGCTAGGTGTAATCATTCCAGTTCACACTTGAAACACATTGTGAAAGCAGAGTGGAGCAGCTTGCTCTGCCATTGCCTGTGCTGTACATGTTTGTGGATAAAATAGAGGACTTCATTCCCATCCAGTTCCTTTCACAAGTATATTTACTTTGTTTTAATGGATATGATTATTCATTTTACATTTTTAAAATGTAAACTGTGTTCAGTTTTTCAGAACACTCCAGGGTTATTTTTCGGGAAGAGGTCTTGATCTGAGAAAGTTCCTAGATACTTTCTCCATGAATAATGACAGACCCAGGCCTGTAGCTATCTACTCGGATCCCACTGCTTCTGCATTTGCAGATTATGAAGAAAAGAAAAAATTATTTCAGAACTACTTCAAAGGCTGAAAGAAGCTGCTGACCAAGGTAAAAGTGATTGTTTTTCCTCTGTGCTGACCGTTACATGTGGTTGAGTTACAGATTTGGATTCTGGTAATTTTCCCTTCTATATGAAGGATAAAAAATAACTTGCTCTTGATAACACATCAGAAATGTGTGGTATTTTAACTCTCACTCAAAGGTGATTGAAATTTATTTAAGGAGAAATTTCTGGGGAGTTAATTTCTTTCTGGAATAACAGGAGTATATGCATGGTAAGAAGTATTCTGAAGTCAGAAGTTTATGCACTGCTTATGTCTCTAATTTATTTCCAGAGACACATACTTGACATTTGCTGGATTAAACAGGGAAAGATTTCAAGAGATCAAGTAAAACCTAGTACAATCTAAATTTTTCTAATGGAGGCAGATAGCCTCCCATGATATGTGCACATCAAGGAAAAAACAGACTCAAAAAAGAAAACATTACAGTAACAAAGAGTAATCGGCCTTTTAAATCTCTGTAAATGTGATGTTTTTATTTCTTCAATTAAAAGTGAAGGTTGGATAAAATAGTGTGCAAACTGATTCTATACTATATGAATCAAGCTTAGTATATCCATGACCAAATGTACTGCAGGGAACTTGGTTATTTATTTTGTATACTATATAAATAATAATCCTCTTTATGACAACAGGATGAGGGTAGCTAAGTATTATTGTCCCCATTCTACAAACAGTAAGAACTTCAATAGGATTTGGATCCCGCCCAAGGACCTACAAGGAGTCAGTGGCAGTGAAGGTTAAAATTCAGGAGTTCCTGGCTGCCAGTCCTGTGCTTAGCTCACTAGTCCATGGCTCTGTCTGAACTATGTAGCACACCACCACCATTCATTACATTATAGTGACAATTGTATTAATATTTTCATTTTAAATCACCTTTTGATGGGTTTAATTTGGAAAAAAAATCAGCACCACACAATGTAAAGTGGATTAAAAAGTGGTTTTAAAAGATGTGCTCTACCTCAATCAGAATGTATTAGTTTGGTGAAGGAATTATGGAGTAAAAATCTATGGCTTGTGTCACGCAGGAAGACAGACTAAATAATCATAGTGATCCCTTCTGGCTTTAAAATTTGTGAAGCTATGAGAATTCTAAACTCAAATAAATTCAAATGTGATTTAAATGACTCTTTGGGTTGTTTTTAGTAATAAATAGTGGGTAAGAGATGGTTTCTGAACATAAATTTCTGGCTGTTCATAAATGAAAATATTTGCTTTGAGTGTTCTTACAAAATAGTTTATATTTATTGTGAAATTACTAAATTACTGGACACTTGTGTTTTGCTGCATCGGCCACACAGAGGATAACTCAAGGTCTGGGGCCTAAGGAACATAAAACAACACTGATGTTTGACACAAACTGATGAAGACCTAGAAACACAGAATTAACTATGCTCCCCTATCCTTGATTTACTCTGTTGTCTAAATATTGCATCACATAAGATCAGATTCTGGGCCCCCAAAATATGATTCTGTTGTTAACTTGATGAAGATTTAGGGGCTGAAAGACTCGGCATTTAAAAAAAAATTTAATTCTAACCAGGGTTTGTGTTCAGTTAATTACAACTTCCTAATCTCTCCACCCTATCAGTCTTGCAGCAACATAATGTGCTAAACACAGCAGAACTGTACATTTCCACTGTAGGTGGGGACAGGATTTGAAATCCAGTCCTCAGGCACCACAGAGCTGTATTCCGGGTCTCCGTGCCATAATCATGCAGGGAGATGGGCAAGAATGGAAATTGTGTATTTGTACGTATGCAGCCAATGGCTGGTCCTATGAAAGATGAGTGGCCAGAAACAAGCAGCCACAGTAGCTCCACTGACACTACATGGCCTTGAGGAATCTGTTCCTCACCCTGACCCTTACAGAGATTACTCCCAGTCAGAAAAGATAATTTACTGGTTAACAATGCTCATGCTAATAAATTGGGATTTATGAGCCCATCTAAGTCAGTGGGAGTGTTTCAGTTAGGGTCCTTTGGCTTTGGATCCGACCCCATGTGCTTTTAAATGCTCCTACTTACCATCCTTATTTTATTATTTATTTGTTTTTCCTTTCAGGTGGTTACTTTTGGACTTCATGTGAATTGGAAGCATACATGGCAAAATGTTACTGCTTTGGGGTTTCTAACTATTATCTGACAATTTAACATTTTCTTCAGCATCCGAGTCTTAACATATACAAATCTGACATCTGGCTGCAATTGCCATATTTGCTCACTTTTCAGGTGGTGAGGTATGGATGGTTGTGAAGATTGGTCTGACAAGATTTTACTTGTTGAAATGTAAATGAAGGAAAAGTTAAATCTGATGTAGTATGTCTGACTATTCCTAATTGTCTTTGTCAAGGAATGTAAATAAATGTTACCTTTTAAATTGATTACATCTAGGTTTTAGATATCTGTTTTCTTGAATGGAATTTTACTGAGTCTTCATTACAGTGCTTTGTATTTGGTTTGGAGATGTGTGGAATTTAAAAAAAAACACCACTTCAGTCATTACAGAAACCCATCTCTTTGTTCTCTGTTTGTACAGCACCTAGCACAAAGGGCCCTCGTCCCTGACCGGGGCTCCTCGGTGCTACCACAATACAAATAATAATCTTTTCATGAAAGAAAGATAGACTCATCAGATGTATACATCTGAGAGAGATCCCAAGATCATCCTACTGAAAAAGGCAGAAGATAATACAAAAAGAGCCTCCATAAACGTGGAAATAAGAAAAACCCTGTGAAGTCCTAAGACATACATTATTAATGTCATATTCAAGGTCTCATTCAGATACACAATAGCCATCAGAGTACGTAAATGTTTTGGCTTTTATGTTTTGATAGGAATCTCATAGTAAAGAATCCCTATGATTCCCACAATTTAGTAATTAAACTAATAAATTATTCGTAAGAGCCCATCTTACTATTTCTGCTCTGACCATTCCTTATGTAGCTGAACCATTACAGATTTCCAGTACCATATTCTAAAATGGCATCAGGAAATCCTGCATTCAGATTACCACAGGTACTTCTCATTTGGAAGGTACAGCATTGATCCTGAGAAGACTTTTACACACATGCTTAATGCTCCACATGTGAGTAGTCCTACTGACTGAAGTTAAAGGATGAAATCCTGGCCCAATTAAAGTCGATGGCAAAAGTCCCATTGACTTCACTAGGATCAGGATTTCACCCAACTTGAGCACATGGATGAGTCTTTGCAGAATCAGAGCCTAATCCCTTGTTTAATAATAGGTATGAAATATGGAGGTACTAGCTCCATGGTTATTTCAGTGCTGACATGGTCACCAGCTATACGTGCGCACTTGTAGAACCGGGACAAGAAGGCAGGCCATTGGCTTCAAAACACAGGCATCTATCATCTAAACTAAACTCCTTCAGCTGTTAGTCGTTGAAAGGATTTTATTTTACAAAGCAGGTATGGTATGTAGTCTGGACCCATCTAGCCCACCAAATGGAGACTTTTTTTTTTTTAAGGAACAGGAGACTGACTAGCATATTTAGAAAAGCCTATAGAAGTCTATGTAAGTTAATGCAAACTCAGAAGCTAGAATACATATCTGTAAGTGATTTCATCTGTTTTATAATACAATAATTGCTCTAGAAACATAATCACTGCCCTATTCCAGATGAGTCATAGAAATAGTTCTGCTACTCTGTTTCCACTTGATGAAAAGAAAAGAAAAACTACAGATGTCTCCTCCAAAGAATCAATGTAATCAGTAAAACTGGAGTTATTAAATATGCATCTAACCTTTGTGTATTTCCTGTATCAGTTGGCTCATCTAACGCTGCCTTTCATTTTCACTAATACAAAGTGAGGGCAACGTGGCTGTAAACTGCTCTTATTATGACTTCGTAGCATTTCATAATACTTAGTCCTGCTCTGAGTGTAGGGGACTGGTCTCTTTCAGTCCTATAATTCTATGATTCATACACACTTTGAACTGTGCTGCACAAGAATCTGACTTAATCCTGAGCAAATCTAGGGTGCTTTCCCAATATAGATTTCCATAAATGTTTACATCCAATGGTATCTTCATAAATTAGGGAGAAAGACGTCTTTTCTTCCTGGATAGCTGCATCCATTTATTTGATCTATCTGTGTCCTTCTAATACACCTATTGCTGTAGTTTATGTTCTAGTCGTAGTCCTTCACTTCCTTTATCTGGTCAGGATTCAGTAACTCCGGTCTACTGTGATCTTTGAACCACTTAAAACAGTACAAGGAATGGGAGATGCCCTTTCAACTATCAATACCTTCCTTAGAGGTTTTTAAGGTCCGGCTTGACAAAGCCCTGGCTGGGATGATTTAGTTGGGAACTGGTCCTGCTTTGAGCAGGGGGTTGGACTAGATGACCTCCTGAGGTCTCTTCCAACCCTGATATTTTATGATATTCTATTATTTTAATACGTACCTCCTTGATGCAAAGACCACTGAAGTTAAAGGAAAGACATCCATGGAAATAGACTTTGGATCGGCCCCATACAGAACACTGGGCTGTAAATAAGGGTTTATTATGAAAAGAGTGGTGTATCCGGGGTAATTTTAGTGTTTAGGAAAGATATTGGGTAAACTCAGTATAGGAAATGCTTAAGTTCAGATGCGTTGGGAGGTGATGCATAGCAGTCAGTACACTTACCGGCCCACCCTGACAGCTCTGCCTAATGTATGCAGTGTTGGTGTAGTGCTGTCAGGCCCTAGGGTGACCAGATGAGAGGAAGAAAATATTGTGGCACATGGGGGAGGGGGAGGTCCACCGGCGGAACAAAAAAAAAAGCTGAGTGCTGTCTGCGGAGCGAAATATCGGGACAAATTGTGTTCCGACCAATCTTTGGTCGGGACGCGGGACAAACACCTAAATACGGGGACGGTCCCGCTTTGATCGGGATGTCTGGTCACCCTATTAGTCCTAGAATATTAGAGAGACAAGGTGAGGCAGGTAAAATATCTTTTATTGAATCACTTTCTGTGGGGGAGAGAGACGCTCTCCAGCTCCACCGAGCTCTTCCTCAGGCCGGCCACGAGCTCCGGGTCGCACCCAGGGCCAAGTGGGATCAGGCTGCTTAGCATCACTACGTACCCCGTGGGGAGGGAGGGGCAGGTACAGAGCGGCCCTGGCCCTGGCCCCACCCTCCGCCACTTGTGGCCCCGCCCGCCCAACCCCCTTCCACCATCGCCCTGCTGCCCCCCTCCCTCTGTGCCCGGGAGACTAGCGGCTTCGCATCCGTACCGCGCATGCTCAGAGCTCAGCCAGCCTGCGCTACCCCGGAACTGTTGCGCGGCGGCAGCGAGCTGCGGTCGGACCCGATTAACAAGGGACGCGAGTCCGTGCGCGAAACAACCCCCCAGTCCCCGGGTTCGCGGCGCAGCGGGAGGCGCGCGATGTCGGGCTTCAGCCCCGAGCTGATCGATTACCTGGAGGGGAAAATCTCCTTCGAGGAGTTCGAGAGGCGCCGAGAGGAGCGCAAGAGCCGCGAGAGGAAGGTGAGGGGCCCGGCCGCTCCCCTCAGGCGGGTCACGCCGTTCGTTGGCCCGTTAGAGCCGCCCCGCCCGGCCCCGGTGGCCCTTCGCTGGGAGGCTCCGCGCGCGCCGCACCGTGGCCGGCGCGTGTGCACACTGTGCGGGCATGCGGGGAGTTACAGGGGCCCCAGGAGTGGCTGGGAGCCGCCGTGTCGAAAACTGAGTGCATCTAGCAGCGGGGGGATGGCCGGGGGTGTGTGTGTGTGCGCGTGGGGGGATGGCCTGGAGGAGGATGAGTGGCTGGGGAGGGTGCAGGGTAATGGCCTGGGGCGGGGAGGAGAAGGGGGGAATGGCTGCTGGCTGGGAAGTTTGCAGGGCAATGGCCTTGGAATGCGTAGGGCGGCTGTTTTAATGACAGAACCAGGCTATATAGAGTTGTTTTTGGCAATCTCAGTCTTAGGGTACGTCTTCACTACCCGCCGTATCGGCGGGTAGCAATCGATTTATCCAGGAGTGATATATCGTGTCTCGTTAAGACGCGCTATGTCGACTCCGGAACTCCACCAGAGCGAGCGGCGGTAGCGCAGTCGACGGGGAGCCGCGGCCGTCGATCCCGCGGCGTGTGGACCTCAGGTAATTCGATCCAAGATACTTCGACTTCAGCTATGCTATTTGCGTAGCTGAAGTTGTGTATCTTGGATCGATCCGCCCCCTAGTGTAGATCAGCCCTGCGGGTCTGCTGTGCTTCCTGCAGCAGGCAGGGCACAGACAGGGGATGCCCAGCAGGGTATAAATAGCAGTGTAGACAGTGAAATGGTTTAGGCAAGTAAAGTGCCCTATGTTCCCATCTCCCATGGGTGTGTAGCTTACACAAATCACTACATGCCCAAGCAGTGCCTATCACATCTACACTGCAGTTTTTGGCAGTGTAGTGTCCACAGTGTTGTGTCCCTGCTGCCAGAGCTTTTCCATGCCAGAGTGACCGTCCCTGCTGTGGGGAAAGGCTCTGTCAGTGGGGAACTGCTGGAGCCTTTCCCTGCTGCCAGAGCCTTTCCCCATTACCTCCCTGCTGTCAGAGCCTTTCACTTTGGTATGTAGGTATGTGCTGCAGTGACACGTGTGGGCGCAGCCTAACTTCCACCGCGGCATGTAGCTACGCATATAGTGTCTGTGCTCTTCATGTGGACATTGTTAATCCATGAAATACTTTGTGCATTTTGAACTTAATTTATGATCTTGAGATACATGTGAGAAATTATTATTATTTGATAACTGTTAAAATAAGAGTCTTGTACATTGCCATGTTTCTGGAAAGACAAGGGCAATTCTTGGTGAACGGAGCCCGACGCCATAAGAAATGGCAGTTACTTTTGCAGAGTGGGTAGGTGTCTGGCTCCGAAGAGAATCTTGGCATTCCCTGGCAGGAATGCTGGCACACTGCAGAGTTTGGAGTGGGTTAAAATTGGAGAAAATGAGGATTATACTCAAAGTTCCCTCAGGAACATGAAGGCCACGCATTTTTCATTCCCATAATGAAATAAATATAATTTTGTACATATACAAAGGTTTTGTTTTGATTCATTATTCCTGACTGTAGATTTGCTAGCAGGAGTTGTCTTGTTTTATAAACGTGCTATTTTTGTAGACTAAAAACTGCCCCTCTTATTTTCTAGGCAATTTTTGTTTAGTTAACGAAAAGAAACGTAGATTATGTTGGAAATTTGGAACATCTGATATTTTCTTTTTCTTTATGTAATTTCATGATACAAGAAGCAACTCCTTCAAAGATTATTGAAGTGCTCTTTTCATTGCTTCATTTATTTGTATATTTTCCATTATATTCCAACTACAGTAAATAGGAGAGCCATTGCTGTGGGCCATTGAAATTGCTGTTCCACAACAAAAATACTTTGTTCCTCCAGAGGAGGCCTTACTGGTCAGGAGAGCATTACACCATTTTTATCCAAAATTTTTAAGGGTCATAGGATATCAGGGTTGGAAGGGACCTCGGGAGGTCATCTAGTCCAACCCCCTGCTCAAAGGAGGACCAATCCCCAACTACTTTTTTTTTCCCCCCC